ATCTTTCCTGCTGGCCTTTTAATACTCTTATATATATATATATATAACTGGACAAACCTTATGGTTGTACGGGAGTGAAGCATCAGTGCCAACACTGATGTTGCTGTCTTTGATGATGATGATGATGATGTCCCATGTGAAATATGACCTACACCCTACAAGGCACCGAATTTAATAGGCAGCGCCTTGTCGATGGCGCTGCAGGGAAGAAGCATGTCAAAAATCTGTCTTTGATGATGATGATGATGATGTCCCATGTGAAATATGACCTACACCCTACAAGGCACCGAATTTAATAGGCAGCGCCTTGTCGATGGCGCTGCAGGGAAGAAGCATTGTCAAAAATTCCATGGCTCTCTAACCCAGAATATTAATGCGAGACAGCTCCTTAGCAAAAATGAATAAAATATCAGTCCTTTTGTAACAATCAGGAAGGTCTCAGAAGTGGTTGATTGGGCTTGGTCCATGTTCTGGTTTTAGGACGGTCAACTTTTAAGTCAAATAAGGAAGCATTCGGCATGGTCTCTCAGCTAGCGGATTGGACCATTGCCGATTATCAGGTAAAGGTTCCCATAGGTTGGCTTGTTGGCAAATTTTTACGACCATGGGTCCTTATTTTTTCGGTTCACAGTACTTCAGTTCATGGTTCTGGGTCTCTGTGGATCAGCCAGTGTCGTGTAAATCCAGTTAGGGGGTAAGGGAGAATACGCGAGGTTTGATCAGGTTGAGCTTTGTTAATGACTACTACAAATGCCAACTCAGCTGATCGGAAGCTGGTCTCCATTTACGCTTGCCAGTTTTGCGTCATCTCTTCTGGTGGTTGCTGATCTTCACCGCTCCGGTCATCGTTTGCTTCCCGTGTCCAGCAACTGTATTCTGCTGAGTATTCCACTAGCACCTAATATTCATTTACACATGTTGTCTTCACCTGTTCTTTTTACCCGTATTTGATTATCGGGAGTTATGGTGCAAGACATTAATTTCGAGGCAAGGGAAATTTCTCAGAAGATCCTCGTAAAGACTTTCATCACCTGGAATAGTTGTTTTCTGGTCGCGCGTTGTGCAAGGTGGTACAGCGAGAATTTCAGTTAGAGTTCGGCGTGTATGGTTCAGTGAAATAACAAGCGCATTCCATAGTGTTCTATAATGCAGACTGGTCGCACTTTAACGCTTGATCTATGACCTTTGCCATATCAGGATTCAGCTGTTACTGCTTGCTCTGTGCTAGTGATAAACAGCTGGTCAAGCTTTCAAGTGCGATTTATTACGATGTTACTTTCCTTTATTTTTGTTGCAGTCAATTTCCCAACACCGGCCACTGTGGTTTATACTGAAAAGCCAGTGATAAATACTCTGCTATTTTCCTTCGTTTTGATGACTACCTGGAATGAGAGCTGGTGGACAGAGCATGAAGGTATGTCTCCAAGTTTGCTGTTATTAGCGTTCCGTAGACACAGATTTGGGCTATGCCAGGGACAGGCTGGATTCATTACTACAATCGCTGAAGGATAACCCCGAAAAGACGTAAGCACGAAGGTTGCAGTAACCTCTTCCAGCAAACAGAGCGCCAAATATAAGGACGACGGTTTGGGACGCAAAGACTCTTCCGATAAGGACAGGTACAGAACATCCTACATGGGCATGAAACACGCTACTGACATCAAACGCAAGAAGCGACGTATAACCTCGGATGATGATGACAATCTCAAAGGTGTGCCCGCATTTTCCTTCGTAACTTCTCAAGAGTCCTTTGTGATAAAGGTGTTTGAAAGAAGTGTGGATTTCGGTCAATTTGGTGAGGGCGCTCCGTTGTATCCGATGGCTCGGGCGTGGATAAGGAACCTCAATCAAGGCGATGCTTCTTCCTGGAACGACGTTCCTGGTCTTGAAGATGATCAGGAAGTAAGTTAATACCTTAATCCTTTGTTGTGCATGTAGTGGTCAACACTAAAAAATGCGTGTAAATTTCATTTCGAAGAAATATAGTTTTGGCTCCCATGTCACACTTTACTATCCGGATATTACGGTTTAGTAATGAGCGTTATTGTAACCGAACTCAGCCTATGCTAGGAACCCAAGAGCACCTTGTGACTGTTTTATTATTCTTGGGCGTAGTCGGTGGTACGAGTATCACGAGTTTCTTCATAGAGTTGAATCCGTGGCCTTCCGTTATTACCATCAGAGACAGCAAGATCAGTGTTGACACCGATGCCATACAGTATTGATTTAACATAATTACATTCAAAGCTCCAAAGTGGGAAAAGAAAATACCGGATGGGAAAGGGATTTGATGCCAGCTCGCCCTATGCATTCTGAAATTCCAACGTCCCTAAACGTCCAATCAGACATCCTGGAAAGAAACTGACAGAACGAACACCGCTGACGTCGGATAGACTCCGTTTCTTGCAACGTCTCCAGTTAGGCACATAGAGGCTTAGGGTGAACACATCGTGAGAGATCAACCGTTCTAGAAACTTTCAAACCCTTCGCAGTCTTATGCCCTTCTACCAAGTCATAGATTATCCACTCCGCAGTTTGCGCAATTGTAAGTGAGGCGCGTCTTGAGTACGATGAGCCCCTGCAATTGCTGGTCCCATCCGCTGCTTTCGGTCAGGTTCTTGAACCGGAGGCTTTTGTCGGAGGCCTTATTTGCTGCCCCGTCTAGATGTGAGGACCCTGATTATATTCCAGGCCGTTTACAGCCAGGGGCTTCACAACCAGAAAATATCATTTCATATCGGCCGTCGTGTGTTCACCTTATTTTCTGCATACAGCAACCCGGGTAATAGAAAACAGGCCATTGCAAACACCCCCTTCTTACAATTTCGCGTATTTCTTCTCCCCTACACCATCCCGTTAAGAGTGCTATCTCCTCAGGCTTCAGGACTAGAACGGGGAGATATGTTCTCCTTACACCACCTTTGACTGAGACTTCGCGGTGCCAGCTCTAAACACCAATCCACTTAATTTAGTCTACTTAATTACCCTTAATGTTTGCACCTTGAAGCAATCATGTGAACATGCTGTTCTTGCTCGTACGGCGTTGGTGTTATCTGTCAGAAACAAGAATCCCAAAAGCGAATACTGTGTCTGAATTGACTCCCCCGTTACGCTCCTCGTTTCCGGTCTGTCTTCTAGGATGTGTTTTCCTAACCCTCTCTTGCTTGACTGGAAGTGTTGCAAGGAATGGGGTCTAACCGATGTCAGCGGCGTTCGTTCTGTCAGTCTCTTTCCAGTCTTATTGGATGTTTGGGGATGTAGGCACTTGGGAACGCTTGCGGTAGGCTAACACCAAATAACTTCCCTATCCGGTCTTTCCTTTTAACACTTCAACACTTTTAACAGCCTTCAATACGGTTATGTCAACTTTGTGTTTGAATCGTTGTCATCACTAATGTTGGCGTCTCTGAGGATGATGAACATATCTGACGGGTTTAGGCCACTCCTATGGCTATTTTATTCAACACCTGTGCCAGATTACTTACCACCCTCCTCACATCAAAGTTGTCACTTTCGAGACGTAAATTTTTCCGAAATAATATGAAACTCAAACAAATGTAAAAATACATGTTATAATGAAGGTAGTTTTCATGCGTGAATCCTTTATTTCTAGAATATAAGGAAGGACAAAGAGGAGCAGCACAGTGATGAACAGGGTTAAATGCTGCGCTGGAACACATCAGTACTTATTCGCAAAACTAAACGGGGATAAATGTCTCCAAAAACTTGATTTGGCAGACGTCTACCTCCAATTTTCAGTCTCATCCGAATCTAAGCAGCTGTTGACGATTAATGCCCACAAACGATTGATACAGCTGTGGAACACATCAGTACTTATTCGCAAAACTAAACGGGGATAAATGTCTCCAAAAACTTGATTTGGCAGACGTCTACCTCCAATTTTCAGTCTCATCCGAATCTAAGCAGCTGTTGACGATTAATGCCCACAAACGATTGTTCCAATACAGCTGTCTTTCTTTTGGAGTGAAGACTGCTCCAACTATTTTTCAGCAACTCAGAGACACAATGTTGACTGATATACCAAGTGCCGCGGCTTATTTGGGTGATACTATCGTAACCGGGTCAGATGAACAGAGCCTTTTTGCCAAGCTGGATAAGGTCCCCACAAACCTTGGCGAGTATGGCTTTCGAGTCCGCTCTGAAAAGTGTCTCGTCACCATAATCAAAGACAGCAACATGAGTGTTGTCACTGATGCTTCACTGCCGTACCATACCACCATGTCGCAAATCAGATACCTTGGTTTTATTATTGACCATTCTGGCCGACGGTCCGATCCTGGCAACGTAGCTGCAATCAAAGCGAGGCCACCGACGTGCCGACTTTACGTTATTTCCTGGGTCTGGTTACTCGTTACGGTGCATTCTCGCACAAGGGTCCTGCTTAATCGACTGTTGACCAAGGAATCCAATTGGGCATGAACCGTAGAGTGTCAACAGTCTTTTGAAATCAAAGAATTACTCGTATCGAACCTGTTTTTCACTCATTTTGATCCTAAGCTGCCACTTTTGGTGGCGTCGGATGCATCCAGTTACGGTATTGGCGCCGTGGTGTCTACTGATCATCATCATCGTTATCATCATCCTCATCCTCATCATCACCATCATAATCATCATCATCATCATCGACAGCATGACATCAGCGTCCAACACTGATGCTTCACTGCCGTACAACCATGATTTATTTGAAAGCCCTATTGTAAAAAAGATTAAAGGTGGACAGGGAAGGGACTCAGTGCTAGCTTACCACAATCATCCCGAGGTGCCTATACCTCAAGACACTCACTCAGGCGATCTGGATAGAAACTGACAACAAGAAAGCCACTCACATCGGTTGGCAGCCGTACGTTGTAATGCCTCCAACCAGCCGCAGTGAGGATCACGCGGTCCCCATCCTGGAAGGCGAGTACCACCGACAGCACCCAATCGTTTCGTGGTCTCTTTCATACTCCTCTGCTAATTCAAGGGTTGACCACCCCTCTGTTTACGCCACTCTGAAACGGGCATGGAAAACAGCACTCTTCGGCAAACGATAGTTCGGTATACGCAACACATGTCCCAACCAACTCAGCTTCTGGTGCTGGACACATTTCCAAATGGAAGTACCCGCTGCACAACCGGAAACGCGCTTTCTAACTGCCTTGTTACGGATTCGTCAACACCAACCCACATGAGCTGAGACAATGATTGTCGAACACCTGAAGACGTCTCAGGTCCGATGCTCAAATAGGCCAAGTCTCACAGCCATACAACAAAACAGCTCCACTGTAGCTTGATACAATGGGGTGGGGAGAGGGGGAAGAAAAAGTATGTGAAAGAGAAAGAAGGGAGGTGTCAGCAGAAGCCTATTTTCGCTTACCAGCCCTGCTGTATACGGCGAGTAAGGTGACCTGGCTGATGGGACCACGCGACGGCCGATGTGGCGTGAGTTTATTTGTGTATGTGCAGTTCATGTTTGTTTCGTGGGCTGGGATACTGCCAGGGTGCGCACACCTAGACAGGAGGACGATTAGGGTCCTCAACCAAAGCCTTTGGTTCAAAACGATAACCGCAAGGCAGCGGTGTTTGGCGGAAATGCGAGTGCATTACCATTTCTACGGAACAAGCCGCCACATGTTCCAACCCCAAAGCTGGAGGATCAGGAGACTGTGTTCGTCAGACCTCTAACCATTGACCAACCGGGTATGAGAGACTCTGTGAGTGTCGCGGGACACTCTCCAGTATAGCTCAATGGATCGCTAGGTGCGCAAACCGTCACACCATGGTAAGGTCCAGTCTCTTCAGCTCTCTCCTGCTATCACAAGCCTCTTCTATGTATATTTGGATTTAGGAAGGGCATGCCTGCATGCACCTCTAACCGATTGCAGCGGTGGGCCACCACTCTTCTAGGATGCGACTTTTTGATTATATATCGTACAACCGTCTCTTTCGGACAGGCGAATGCTCTATCGCGACTCATTGGATCTCATTATGCGGTTGTGGAAACAGTCAATGTGTAGTCGGACTTCAAGCGCATCATCACCGACTTTTTCCGAGCCCTTCCACTAACCATGGCTACGAATCAAGGGGCCACCAAACGTGACTACGGGCTTCAAGAAGTCACTAAATTTATTCGACCTGGCCTGCTTAGTAAAAAACACCAACCCAAAGGTTTGTCGGTACACTAATCTTCAGGAGCCGTTATCAATAGTTGATGGTTGCCCTATGTTTGTTGAGAGAATGATCGTATCAGAGGTCCTCTGACAGAGTGATCCAACGGTTCCACAACGGCCACCCAGGAGTTAACCGGTTAAAGTCATTGGCTAGGAGTAACGTTTGTTGACCCAGCATAGCTAAGATTTAAAGGAGTATTGACGCAGTTGTCCTCACTTCATTCAAGTTGACAAGAATTCGCCACGATGTGAACCACACGATTGGCCTATGCTTGAGGCACCATGGCGACGTCCACACATGGACTTTGTCGGTCCAGTCGATGGTCTGCTTTGCCTGATAACTGCAG